CCTCATGGGATAGTAAAGTGTCCATCAAATGCACACTTCAGAATCTCCGCGGAGTAGGTCATCTGGGTACTTTTCGCCTACTCTTTTTCGAATACCATGAATTCGGACAATATTTTTTCAGCATTCTGCTAGCAAGGAAGTGTTCAATTTCAGACATAGCTTCTGTCAGTATCTATGATATTCCAGACTCTAGATATAACTCAGTTCCCTCCTTCAAAGGAAGTCTATTATTTTCATAAATTATGCATAAAAATTTTGGCAACCAATATTCAGGCAATATTTTTTAAAATGTTGCCCGTAAACGATGCTACACTGTAAATCAACGTGACCAAAATTTGTAAATGTGTAAAAATTTAAAATATGTAAATATGCAAATTTTGTAAGGCAAAAACATTGAGAGGCGGCTCACTGCTGAATAACTTGACTACGACTGGTTACATTTATCACCTGAGAATATGATTTCATTTTTGGTAAAAAAATATTTTTGATGCATCACCCATTTTTATTTATTTTATGGTTTACCAAGCTGAGTCCAAGTCCAATAACTTAGTAATTGAACACTTCATCTCAATAAGTGTTTGAAGTACTCATGTCCTCAGCACAAAAGCTTCAAGACAAGTTAAACTCCAAAGTGTCCATTCACTAATCTAGAGTGCATTATGAATATGCAGGTGTTTGCATTTAAGCATGCAACTTGCACCCACACACTTTTGCATGCACCCACACACAGGTGGCTGAACAAATCTAACCTATATGCCATGTCAAAGGAAGCAAACACACACAGACTCTCACTCAGCCCCAGACAGGCGTTGCTTTGTCATACCTCTACTCTCGACAGGCCCTGCCGTCTTCACGCCACGCTCAACTCTTGGCTGCACTCCAAAGCACCTCAAACGCATGCCTCGCTCAGTCCCTCCGCCATATGGACAGATCTGAGCCCTTTGTAGTCATCTCTCTATGGAGGGCCTACCTGACTAAAGCCCAGCGGACTACGACCTGCAGGGATGAGCACGCCGGTGCCAGAGATTGGCTCTTAAACACGGCATAACACTTGCCATCTGACTGCCGTAACAATCTGCACCCTTCACACACATATATACACCATACAGACATATTATGACTTCTGCAGAATAGAAACAATAGAAATAGCTAGTTTCTTACATATTCTTTTTTCCACAATTTGTCAACATATTTGTTTAAATTTAATATATTTTGAAACAAATGTTATTGAATATGTTATAGAAAGGTGCCATGAAAGCCCTGACTCGTGACAAAAACTATTTTCATAATATATACATTTTTTATTAATTATTTACTCACCCTCTTTTCATTTTCTTTGGTAGAATAGATAAGAAAATATTTTAAAGAATGTTCAAGCTGCTCTTTTCCATAAAAGAAAGCATATA